TCTAAAAGCGGAATTTGTCTCTTATCACAGATAATAGATCAAAGCTTTTAAGCTTTTATCTGAAAAGTAAAATATAAGCCTTCTCACGGGAAAAAAAAATGAGACTGAGGCAAGATTCGTTTTACTGAAGAAAGCTACAAGTTAGGTGATACCTAGCCAGGACAATTCTTTATCATCTCGTTAGGGTAGTTCTGCGAGGCAGAATGGCATTTTCAATTACATAAAAGCTCAGCAATGGTCAGCTATTGTTAATCCAAGCACTGTAGCAAGCAGAAAGAAGTTACTACAGACCCTTATAATTTCTATTACATGAACGAAATGAAGAATAGGAATAACAATAGAGTGTGTTGGCAAAGATCACTGCCAGACAATTTATAAAGATATGCAAATATCTTCATCAATACTCAAGCAACTGTCAATATCCAATTGGAACATGTTTGGTCCAGAAAAATTCCACCATTAGCTATTGAAAAAAAAAGTATGACTACAAAAAGAAAATTAAAAAATGGAGGAAGTAGTAAGGATATAAAAACTAGTTAAATGAGATATAATTAATGCATCAAGATAAATAGAATAAGTTAGTAAACCCCCAATTTTGCACAAAAAGTGAATTAAAAGGATCACTAAGACACTTTCCTAGTGTTTTCCCCATTTGTTGAAGGGTCCTGAGCACTAAAAGCAATGACTCTTTTGGAAGCCTGTAAAATCTACTGTTTTCTGGGACCACCTGAATTGTAGTAAAATATACAAAGAAATAAAAGTAACTCTAAGAAATACAAAGATAGAAAAGGAATAAGTGTTTCTGTGTTACTTTGGATAATATGGACGTGCATAATCTTAAATACTACAAAAGAAAGATAGAATAAGATATAGAATGTGATTTATAAGTGTGTGACATTTTAAATACAAGGTAAAAATTATTGTTTTTACCTAAAAATGTAAATGCTTCCTTCGAAAATCCTATCTAAATATAATTTTTTTTTAATTTAAGTGAAAGGGCAAATGATTAAAAAAAAAAAACCCTTCAAGGTAAGTGTAATCATATTACCTTAAGATTAGTAACTTTGGGTTGCAAAGTCAACTGTGTAGATTGATGTGTTAGACACATTAGTGGAGTGTGTTTCATGGCATCTGAGTTGATAAAACTTTGGTATTACTGCTGTTTTATTTTGACAAAGTGTGGTGTACTAACATAAGTTTTATAATAAAATGGCAACAGCTATTAGATATGCAAGGAATGAGAACTTTGAAGCATTCCATCACCTAGTCTCACAGAAGCCCTATGAGTTACCAATTATTAATAACTAGTTACAGATCCTGAATCTCAATAATATCATATAGTTGGAATAGTTCTATAGAGTTCCTAATTGACAGATGCAGATAACATGTACAATGTTCTTAATTTCTATGTGATATATTTTTAGGGGACATCTGATCATAGCCATCCTTCCATAATATTATTAAATTTTGGTTATAAACCAAAAGTTTTGAGCTCCAGTTTTAACAAAACAGAATACAAGTGGCAATTAATATGTAAAATATGTGTAAGCACTAACGTATAAATTGAGAAAGACTATAAAGACTATATTAGTTCCTATTAGAAAAATAATGGTACTTATATATTCATTATATTATTGGATAAACCAGTATCCCAAGTACCTGTGGAGATATAGGTAATATTTCCACTAATTGATAAATTTATGTGTAAGTTCATGGATGTAATATAAAAAGCCACAGCATCAGGCTGGAGAAATGGATTAGTGATTAAAAGCATTAACTGCTCTTTCAGAGGATCCAGGTTTGATTTCTAGAGCCTGTATGGCAATTCACAACCATCTGTACCTACAGTTCCAGAGAATCTGATGCCCTCTTCTGACATCATACACTTGAGAGCTACATAGACCCAGCAGACAAATCATACAAATAAAATGAAAATGAAATTTCCAAAAAAAAAAAACCATTGCATTGACATTCTTTGCTTTTATCTATCTCTTCTTAGATTTTGAAGATTTATCTCAGTGCTCTCACATGTAAGGTTCTGCTTCTTCGCTTCACCCTTAATCTAGCATTAATATTCTTTAATGTCTGCCAATGGCAAATTTTCCGAGGCGTTTGAGTTGTATGATGAAAAGCACTTCACCCACTCATCCCAAATAGTTGGCCATCCTCCTAACTGATCAATCAGTTAAGTAGGATCTATTCAGCTTTCCATCCATCATTTTAAAAAGGGAAAACTGTGTTAATGTGAAGAAAGGAAAACATAAATTTAGTTTTCCTACCTTTTTCTCTTTAACTGATTTTTAGAGAAAACTTAACTAAATGATTGCAAACCATAGGTAAATTTTTATTCATCGAGTTATCAATGAGTATCCAGAAGTTCATTGTATTTCTGAAACTAAAATCCAAATCTATTTATCAAATATATGCAAGGCCCGAGACTCTTAGAAACCACTATAGGTGAAATATTTCAGGACATTGAAAAGGGCAAGATTTTTTTTTTCAGGAAAAACATGACCAAATTACAGGAAATCAAAGCAAATCTAGAATGTGTCATATACAGTGACTATAATCTGCAGAGAGTAGGAAGCACCTAGAGAGAAAGGCAATCTGTGGAATATTTATACACTAAATATCTAAAAAGGTATTTACTTTTACTCAAGTTTACCTCCGAGTACTCGATAACAACCTCCCCATTTTAGTAAACTAAAAAATAAACTAAGTTATCTAAATACACAGGTTGATCAAACTCAAATGTTTTGTAGTATCCTTATTCTGCAAAACAAGATCCTCTTTTGCTGCAGTTACTCAGTTTGTGAATCTCCTCATGAGTTCTCATTCCATGAGTTTTCAGTCCGCACTCTAGGCAGCATCTCAAATATCCTTGTTCTCAGAGCATTTGGCCATCTTCGCTCTACATTGAACAGAACAACACCCCTGTACAGTACTTGGAACAACCAAGCATCTTTAAAATGCTGTGGAACCACTGTTTAGTGTTAAACAATTTTATCACTCCTCAAATAAGATGATGATGATGATGACAGTATGCTTGCAAAAATGATGTCTATGAGTAGTGTCTGCATTCTGAAACTAAAAATAATATTTTATCTTAATTTCTTCTCATTCACTCACTGAATTAAAAATAATATTTTCTGAATGTTTATTTTATCCAAGGTATTAGTAGTTTAGGTAGATGAACATATAGTATCCTAAAGATACTATATCCTAAAGATAATATTGTCTGTACATTAGATATTTATATATAAGTAAAGATGGTAGAGAATTGAAATTAAGACAGCAACATCAGCTAAAAACACTATGAAAAGCTCATTCAGATATAGCTACATGTCTGTCAGCAAGTGTTATTTTAGGTGACCTTTGAAGAAAAATAAAATATTGATGGATATGAAGAGTAATGTGTTGAGAAACGGAAAAAAAAAATCAATGATGAAGGAATTACATGGTAAAGGACCCCAGGAAGAAAAATGGACCTTAAATCCAGGGAACAGAAAGTCAACGATGTGTTTGGGATACAGTATGTCTACAGGGATGAGTTCAAATAAGTGACTTAAAAGACAGTATGGTTAAAATTTCTTGGATAATTTCATGAATAATATTATAAAAGTATGGAACCAATTATCAAAGAGATGGAAGTCATAGGTTTATTTAGCAGGAGGTAACATTACTCTGTGATTTCAACTGATAAAGTATACCCACACTTGCCATTTCCTTGTTGATATCGTCCTTCCAGTAAATCCCCAGATTTAAACTTAGTTGAGTCTGAAAGTTAGTCTCATTAATTTCTTATAGAAAAAAACATCACCTCTTTATTTTTAAGATTTCATGTTCTGTTTCTCAAGATAAACTATATATTATTTCCATAACCTTTGTATTCACATTACACATACTCTTAGGATTATTATGAGATATTCATCTTCTTAAAAAATCATCTTTTTCATTTGACATAAATCTGTGGGTAATTGTTATCTGCGGTGCTTTAAAATAGCGATTCAAGTTGTTTAAAATAATTTGTTTGACTGGTCAGAACTGTGACTTGGTAAGAAAATTTGTTGCTGCTGCACAATACGCGCTAAGCAGACAACAGAATGAAGGTGGGAATGATTGCTGAATGGTTACTGTTATGTCAGGAGGTTGGTGAGAGGATAGCATGGAAAGATGAACAAAGAAGTGAAACACTAAAAAATACATAATATATGGGCCATGGACGTGAGGACTGATGTGTTGGGGATAGCCTGAATATCATGAAGAAAGTTTGCATATGCACTATAAAGGCATGTTTACTAAACAAAACTGTTTTCTGTTTAAACATTTAGAATGTCTACCTGAGCGTTCAGTTCTTTCCATGTCTGCAAACTAAAATCTCTTTATTAATGGGGAGGCAATTATTTCTTCTGCTTCAAAAAAAAAAACTGAAATGATCCTCCACTATTTTTTTGTTGTTGTTTTGAGACCGGGTTTCTCTGTAGTTTTGGAGCCTGTCCTAGAACTTACTCTGTAGACCAGGCTGGCATGAATTTACAGAGATCTGCCAGCCTCTGCCTCCCAAGTGCTGGGATTAATGGCATGTGCCACCATTGCCTGGTGATCCTTCAGTATTTTCTGAATTATGAGACCTTAAAAAGTTATAAGAAATCAAGATAGAGATAGATAGATAGATAGATAGATAGATAGATAGATAGATAGATAGATAGATAGATGGATGGATGGATGGATGGATGGATGGATGGATGGATGGATGGATGGATGGATGGACGGACGGACGGACGGACGGACGGACGGACAGACAGACAGACAGACAGACAGACAGACAGACAGATAGATAGATAGATAGATAGATAGATATGCCTCTTTCTTAGATGGAATCAATACCTGGTATTTTTAACTAATCTTTTGATTTGAATTTCAGAAGTTCAAGATCTATTTGCCCTCTGCCTTGGCTAGTTGTATATTCATTCTGCTCTTTTTTCTTTCCTTTTTTACAGTACGCTGTCTGGCTAGTCCTCTGGGTGACGTGGAATGTGTTTGTTATCTGCTTCTATTTGGAGGCGGGGGATCTCTCAAAGGTAATTTGCCAACTGATTTGCTAAGTCATCACCCCTGTGTTAATAAATCTCCTTCCAAGTTAGGCCGAGTCTTCTCCAGCTCTCGTCTTCTATATAGTGGGTGAAGGTGAATTAAAGGAAGTCTCAGTCTTACCTCTATGCTTTATCATCACAAAGATGTATTTGATGCCATTTAGCAGAATTAACTTGAGGTATAAGTTATAACACTGCTCATAAAATATGCTTTTTTTATCATTCATGAGAGAATTCTACGGCCAAATATAATATTTCTCAGAGACAAATATCTCTAAGATTTTGAAGTTGCTTCATTTCCTTGTATTAAACAATGTTTTCCTGATTCAATTTGAATCATAATATGATAATTTAGACAATCCATAAACTGTTATCAGAAAGAAATATATTGTTACAGATGTGAATAAAATATATACACCGTTCTAACATAGTATCAAAGATGTAAAACTATTGCTGTTTTCACTGTGATTTGTTTAGTTAATGTGTGAGGAGCACTGTTGCAATTTTAACATGTATTCATTGACAATTGAAATGATATAGTCTGCAGACCTCTAAAGGCACCATTGTTATATATAGTAAGTTGCAGCAAATAGCTCAAACAAGACCATCAATTTAAGTAAATCCTGACTCTGGAGAGAATTCATGTCTTGTTCTTCTTGCTAATGTTGAAAGAACTAAGTTGTGACATATTTCTTGTTATCACTATCACATTAGCAAATATCAGAAAGATACGGACATCTTTAAACACAGTACTAAGAAGAAAAGCCTCTTGACAACACTTCCCCATGTCTACATATCTGGTCAGGCTAGAGAAATAGGGGGTGGTAATATATATGTAAGTGGGAATTTGACAAAACATTCAGCATTTTTAATAGTGTTCGCTTATCATTTGATCTGTGCTAAGGATTAATGTAAAGTAGAAATCATTTTGATTTATCTCGGTTCGATGACAAAAGATGGAGAGAAAATGAGTGTGAATTTGTGGGATGAGGAAGAATCTAGGGTTATATTTAATGATCAGATTTGGGTCTAGTTCCACACAGTCAGCCTGGCGAAGGACCACTTGGTGATTTGTTCACAGAGTCATTCTATATGCTGTGGCAGCAGACAGCCCATCTGGGAAGGGGCTGTGACCAATGGAGAAAAATTGTTCTGGCTACTCTAGGAGGAACACAGATGGAATCACGGCTTAAAAGGCAGTATGCTTTCCCCGGGACCTGAATTAGTTCCCCATTTATATATTTATGCTCTTCTGTAACCCACTGTATTCAAAAAAATTCCACATTAGAATGAGACTTAACAATATTCTCTATTTAAAAAAATCACCTTAAAATTGTAAGTCAGATGTCAAGAGTATTGAGAGAGTGAAGTGGTTTAGCAAACCACAGTTTCTTTAACATGAAAACACAGAGCACGAGAGTTGAGGAAAGCTGAGTGCTCTGATGTTCTCTGGAGATAGCAAACTTTCCTCGTGTGTCTGCAGAGACAGGATAGAGGCTGGGATCTCATGATTTTGAACAAGATCATTAAACCTCTGTGAGGGAACATCCTAAAAGCCTAAAGCCCAAGCAAGCTGCAAGCCAAAGAGAGAAATCTTTTTCTTACGGGCCTCTAACGATAGTCTGTCGTCAGCAATGAAGCAGTTAACAGTATTTTCTTGTCCACCACGGCTTCAGAATACATGAAAATTTAATCATCTCCTTTTAACAAAGAGTCTAAAATAAAACTGTAAAGGGCTAAGTTCTATAGTTATCTGTTCTGGGTTTTCTTTGATGCTCAGAGGGTTTGAAGAAAGTGTGATTGTGGCATTTAATTCTTTAGTTTGTTGCAAGTAGCCCACACTGTGAGGAATATAATGCGAGAAAGAAGCATGAGTGCCTGAGATGTACAAATTCACGACAAATCAATAAGGGCTCAGCTGAGCCTACGTATAGTAGCCAGATTACAGCACATAAAGCACTTTCAACCCACTAGAGAATAAGACAGTGTGTTTCCTATCTGAATGCTCCATTACTTGAATCTTGGGGATAAATACAGGAAATCAAATAAGAGAAGGCATTTAATGAGATGTATATAATGAGACAGATGTATTTTTTCCATAAAACATGAAAATAGGTAATTTGCTTTAGAACAAATATAGGCAAGAAATGATAAAACTTAAAGGTAAATTTTAGTTACCTCTATAGGGATCAAAATTTGGGTTATCTTTTCTATAGTATTTTTCAGTTTAATTTTCTAAGCAAACAGTTTTCCATATAATTATGAACTGCATACAACTATGAATAAATTCAGTGTCCATAATCAGTAATTATTTGATACAATAATATAGTAAGTGAGACTAAGCTGTTTGAACTTTGGTTGTTATTTATAGATAGTTATATGGTTAGTGCTATGAAAATACATCATTATCGAAGTTTTAATGACTATGTTAGAAATTGTAAAAGATTCAAGAAAGATAAAAATTAGTTTCATTTTTATCAAATAGAGAAACTACATTTTAAGTTTCTGTTAAAATAACATATAATAGGAATATATATGTGTACATATGCTAATATATAACTTATATGAATATATCATAGCAACAAAATATCCATGAAAAGGTAACAATTTCTACATAATTTATATCAGTAGCTACCATGATAGTGTTTAAACTAAATATCATCAAGTATCATATACTATGTTGTTCCTTGAGTTGGGATTTTAATAGATGTCTTGTTTGGAAACCAAGAGGAAGTAGACTTTCAATTCATGTAAATGGTAGCTGTTTGAAGTTACCTTTGAACATTAAACATGAAGAGAAATAACAATGAAGCAGTTGCGTTAGTAGTTTTGGGAAGTTTTCATATGTAGTCTTATTTCATTAAATTATACTAGGCAATTATTATTCTCTTATCATTTTTCAGATAGAAATGAAAACCTATCCTACCCATCAACTAACTTGAATTATTGCAAAAAGATGAAAGATATGTTATTTAATAAATAGTAATTTTTGGGTTCAAAGTACCTAACAGAACAAAAGCACATGTACTATACTGATTTACTTACTCATTTCATAACCTGGGATGAGAAAATAAGTTTTCATAATAACACATTAGGACAAACATATTGGTCTGCTCAAGTGTTGAAAAAATGAAATTGTTAGATGTGAAAAAAAAATGTATCCTGCTTCAACTGAAGCTGCGCATCAACAAACCTTCTAAAGAGGCTGTTTGGAAGAGCCATCCATGCCTCTCTTTTCTGAGGAGAGGCATTGGTCAATGGTGATCATATGTTACAGGGACAAAACAAAAATCTTACAGAGAAGGCAGGCAATGGGATTACTTTATACCCAGCACAGATGAATTTGCTTTTATTTAAACCTGTGAGATGAAGGACAGGACATAGGTACATATCTGTCAGATATCACTAGACATTTGAGACTTAACCTGGTGAAACCTTGGCAACAGTATTTAACTATATCTAATTGCATGTGTGTGTGTGTGTGTGTGTGTGTGTGTGTGTGTGTGATTCAGAAGTACATGCAAGCTTCTTCTAGAAGGCTGCTACATTTTAATGACTTTTGTAGTTGTTTTTTTTAGGGTCTATATTTAATTTATTTTTAAATATTGCCATCTGAAAGAGCCAGATAATACATTCAGTTCAAGCTTTGGGGACTAAACTGTTCTCTTCTATAAGAAGCAAAAAAAGATAAAACCTTTCGTACACTGTAGGCTTATAAGAACAAATCCTTAAAAACTGAAATGAGTAGTAGACAGAATAATGGACTCTTAGAGCAACTGTAGTTTTGCATTTAACTCAACAAATGCATTATTCATTTAGAAAGATTCCAATGTTTCTACATACTCATGTTTAGTGAAATCAATGTTTATATCAAATTTGTCTTCTATGACCTTGTATGTGAAAATGACATATGTTATAGTCATTTTACTTATATTCATGTTTCTTCAAAAGCTAATGTTTGTTTTTAAGTGAAATATGATTGTAACCCCCATAGCATAGCTACTAGATAGACAATCAGAAAAATGCCAGGTTCAAGTCTTGCCTGAGTTGTAGAAAGTGTTGAAGACTACCCTGGGCAATCAATGTGATACTCCCTAAATATAAAACCTTCCTCAAAACCCAGCAATACCACTTTTGGGTATGCTCAGTCATACCACAAGGACATGTGCTCAACTATGTTCATGGCAGCTTTGTTTGTCATAGACAGAATCTGGAAACAATCTAAATGCCCCTAAAAATGTGGTATATTTACACAATGGAGTACTATACAGCAGAGAAAAATAATGACATCTTGAAATTTTGAAGGCAATGGATGGAGCTAGAAAACATCATATTGAGTGAGATAACCCAGACCCAGAAAGACAATTATCACATATACTCACTCATAAGTGGTTTTTAAACATAAAGCAAAGAAAAACAGCCTACAAACCACAGTCCCAGAGAACCTAGACAACAATGAGGACCCTAAGAGAAACCTACATGAATCTAATCTACATGGGAAATAATAGAAAACAAAATATCTTGAGTAAATTGGGAGCATGGAGACCATGGGAGAGGGTAGAAAGGGAGGGAAGGGGAAGGGCAGGAAGCAGAGAAAAATGTAGAGCTCAATAAAAATCAATAACAAAAAAATAAAATGAGACTGGGATATAGCTACATGGTAAAATGCTTACTTAGCAAGCTGGAGAACATGGGTTCAATACTTGCTATCACAAAGAAAATGACTAATTTTGATAAATACCAGCAGGTAAGTATAATGGATCCATATTTGTTTTAGGTTTTACTTTCCTTGGTATATTAGTTACTTTTGGGTTGCTTAGGAAAAACACTGTGAGCAAGGCAACTGTAGAAGAAAGGGTTTGTTTGAGTTTAAGGTTCCCAGTAAGAGTCATCATGGCAGGTGAACATGCCTAGGAACTGGGGCAGGAAGCACAAGCAGAGAGAATGAAAGGAAAGTGGCACAACTCATGCAGCGTCAAAGTCTGCTT